TATCGCCATCGCCCGATTCGTCACATCATCGCGCGGCTCGTCGTGCGGAATAGAAATACCGGCTGATATTTTCCGCCATTTCATATATTTCCATATTATGTATATTAGGTCTATATCACGTATTCGTGTATTATATACTTATATGCATTCGTGCATCATGTGGAGTATGTATAAGTCTATATCACGTATTCGTGTATGTACTTACTAGCTGTATATGCATTCGTGCATTCATGTTGGAGTAATGTATAAGTCTATATCACGTATTCGTGTATTATATACTTATATGCATTCGTGCATCATGTGGAGTATGTATAAGTCTATATTCACGTATTCGTGTATTATATACTTATATGCATTCGTGCAATCATGTGGAGTATAGTATTAAGTCTATATTCACGTATTCGTGTATTATATACTTATATGCATTTCGTTGCATCATGTGGAGTATGTATAAGTCTATATCACGTATTCGTGTATTATATACTTATATGCATTCGTGCATCATGTGGAGTATGCTATAAGTCTATATCACGTATTCGTGTATTATATACTTATATGCGATTCGTGCATCATGTGGAGTATGTATAAGTCTATTATCACGTATTCGTGTATTATATACTTTATGGCATTCGTGCATCATGTGGAGTTGTAAGTCGTATATCACTATTCGTGTATTTATTACTTATATGCATTCGTGCATCATGTGGACGTATGTATAAGTCTATATCACGTATTCGTTGTATTATATACTTATATGCATTCGTGGCTTCATGTGCAGTGTTAATATATTATATATATATATATATATTATATATATATATATATATTATATATATTGTATATTCGTCTATTGGCCGTGTCTCTAACTGTCTTCCTCTCCGACGTTTTCCCCAGTCGGTCTTCCAGTTGTTTATGGCGACGGAGGAGTGGGCGCCTGCCGAGACCCTAGCCAAGAGGAAGATGAGTCATGTTAACGAGATGAAGGCCAACGCTGCACCCACTTACCTCAACCCGGCAGGGCCGCATTACTACAAGGACCAAGAAAGCGACCTACCGCCAGCATATAGTAACGAGTTCGAGAGTCACATGTAATCAATCGAGTAGATATTTTGAAGTAATTACGTTAGATATGTTGTTGTATATATATATATATATATATATATATATATATATTGTAATTCACAATTCCGTAACAGATGTAGGCCTGGAGAGAGGTCCTTCAGGTTAATATATTTTATGCACAGGTACACTAGATATATATATATATATATATATATATATATATATATATATATATATACGAGCAAATAGCGAACAATAATTATTGTATATATGTGTGTGTTTGTGCATGCGTGCGTGCGTATGTATGTATGTATGTATGTATGTATGTATTAGTGATGTATGTTGTATGTATGTATGTATGTATGTATGTTATGTTTATGTATGTAATGTATGTAGTGTATGTGTGTGTGTGTGTATGTATGTATGTATGTATGTATGTATGTATGTATGTATGAATGTATGTATGTATGTATGTATGTATGTATGTATGTATGTTATGTATGTATGTATGTATGTATGTAGTGTATGTATGTATGTATGTATGTATGTATGTATGTATGTGTTGTGTGTGTGTGTGTCGTTGTGTGTGTGTGTGTGTGTGTGTGTGGTGTGTGGTGTGTGGTGTGTGCGTGTATGTATGTATGTATGTATGTATGTATGTATGTATGTATGTATGTATGTATGTATGTATGATGTATGTATGTATGTTGTATGTATGTATGTATGGTATGTATGTATGTATGGTATGTAATGTATGTATGTATGTATGTACTGTATGTATGTATGTATGTATGTAGTGTATGTAGTACGTACGTACGTACGTAGTACGTACGTACGTACGTACGTATCGTATGTGTGTGTGTGTGTGTGTGTGTGTGTTGTGTGTGTGTTTGTGTGTGTTGTGTGTGTGTGTGTGTGTGTGTGTGTGTGTGTGTGTGTGTGTGCGTGCGTGCGTGCGTGTGTGTGTGTGCGTGCGTGTGTGTGTATTTGTTTGTTTTGTGAGTGTGTGCTCGCGCGTGCGTGTGCGAGCGCGTGTGTGCCTATTGTGTGTTCGTGCGCGCGTGTGTGTGTGTGTTTGTGGTGTGTGTGTACATTTGTATTAAGTATACACCACACACACACACACACAACACACACACACACACACACACACACACACACCACACACACCACACACACACACACTCACATACACACACGCGCGCGCCACGACACACACACACACCACACACACACACACACACACACACACACACACACACACACATACACACACACACGCACACACACACACACACATACACACACACACACACACACACCACACACACCCCCCACAGCACACACACACAACATATATATAATATTATATAATATATTATATATAATAATTATTGTACGTTATTGGTATACGGAGAATTAGGGAATGATGAAAAAAGGTTTTAGTTATAATGATTCTTTTTCATTTTAAAGTGAAATTTCTTTCTATAAAATGAAATGCAATATATTGATTGTCACGGTAGAACGGTAGTTTGCGAAAGCTCATGTATATACTTGAATTAGTGTCATAATTATAATTCAGGGAAAGCGTTTGGTGCCAGTCTTAATGTCTAGCTGACTTATGAACCTGTTAATCCGAAATGTTTAATCATGAAAAGTGTAGCAGAGAGGGCCAGGCTGTAGCTACAACAGGTGTCAGATATCCTCTACCAGGATAGGCATTTTTTGCAAGTCGTCGCAGCGCCACCCTATTTATTCATCCATTTATCCGTCGGCAGGATCAGTCTGAACCTTAATGTCAATTTCCCTGCGCCGCATCGCAGCGAAAGCAGCGAACTACTGACGCCCGTCGAATTTACTTGGCAACTTACATGCAGATTTTTTGATGTGTGTCATGGAACGTTCCACGGTATTGGTCAATTTTTATAGTATAGATCAGATCGAGTGAAGCAATAGTCTCGGATATTACCGTATCATGATCGCGTAATAACCGCGGGCGCCTATAAGGCCGACCTCATTTTGAATCCCGCGTAACCCAAGAAATATTGCGGCCTAGTTCACGGTATAAACCGCACGCATAGTTTTGTCTCCTCTTATAGACAGATTCGATAAGCAGATTATGAGCCACATCATGACAGTGTTAAAGAGTTCCTTATAGGCAAATTCATATAATATTTCGAATCATTTTATCAAAACATTTAGGCAAACACGATTATTGCAGTTTATTTAATGAACGTTAGATCACGCCAATTATCGCCCGCCGGAGTGACAAGACTCAGCAACGATCGATAACAAAATTTTCCCCTCACGGTATATCGCACTAGTATAACGCGCAGCAAAATACAGGGTGAAATCTAGACCAAATTTGGCGGTTATTCTTAGACGCGATGGCATATAACGGTAAAGCATATAATAGTAGTTAGCGAGCACCTTTGTTGTATTCAGAGTAGTTCGACAGGGAAATGTTCTCCATACTCTAACGCACACGTGTGCTACTAAAGATGTATTGGCTTATAGCCAGGTTGACCGTTGTAGCAACCAGGTCAAAACCGCAGCGTTTAATATTCTAGGATTATTATCAGGTTTATTTACCTTGTTATTTTTTTCCAGTTTAACGCACATCGTATGCGTAACACTTTTACGTCGAACTTAGAACAGAAATAGAAAGTAGAAAGCATTCACTGTTATTTCCCCCACGTTTCTTTGCGCCATCTTATTATAATGATTAATATAATCACATGTTAATAAACAAATCTTTATGTTTATATCGATTTTCATCGTTGTAGGTTTAATCTAGCATTCACTCAATCATCCTGCATCATCAATCTCATAACCTTCTCGCCTAATGATTCTTTCTTCACCTTATGCCGGCATCGCCGCCGTTCCGCAACTGTCTTTTGATCACCAGTGTTTGCATACACTTGCATATTTAGTTTCGGAAGCTAACACGAAACAAGATATGAACGTGATCCGAAACGTTGATCTAGAACGAAGAAAACGTCATTAATTAATGTTATGCATTGATATCCCACGAGAAAGCGGATGCTGGTTTCGTAGAATAACGTGAACCTGGTAGACCCGCGCTCTCTTGGTTCCATCCTGACATTCAGACTCCCCCACAAGATGGGAAGACCAAGAGAGCGAGTCTACAGTCGTTCCGTATTTGCACGAACCACTCCGTTCCTCTGTGAGATCGGAACCAATAATGACGTTTTCTTGTTTCCTCTGCATGTAATTCAGTCACAAGGATTATTATGCTATAAAATAGGAATCTCGTGGCGTGCAAAGCTGTCCACCAGTGGCGCTTTGAAGTGCAACGATGAAAATTTAATGGTCTCTACCGGCATATTGCCACGCGAGTGACGCGTGGGAGTATCGTCTTGTCACAATGGTTATATCTCCACGCCAAAATATTCCGTACTCTGAATCCTTTTATTGTTCACATGTTTACCCGACCTCATTTTCTTTTTGCTACACTTATTAGTTGTTTCTATGAGCGCACTTGCGTATATATGATTCTCACGATACTCAATATCATCTTACCTAAATTGTCGTATTCTTATTTCTGTACATGAGCGAGAATTGATCTTAGCTGAATTTCGTTCACCCGAAGAAAGAAGATTAATAGAAGAATGGCAGTGTTTCTGTAAGATATGAAACCCAAAATAGATAAAACACGCGTCCATTGTATACTTATACTAATTATATATATATATATTTAGACTATTGATTATATATACATATTTTGTAACGACCGTTTACCATCTCCGCACCACATTAAGCGGACACTTTCAAAGAACAAAAATCTTCCACCGCCGTTTAATTTGCGTCTAAAGATCATTAGTTCATTTAGCAATAGTCATCAGCAAGGACGGACGTCTCTCTTGATTAAACCCTTTTCGATTAAGGGCCATGATTACGTTTCATTTAATTGTTCATTGTTCGTTTAATTAGAATCTAATTTCTAGAAAAAAAATCAACACGATATATAGGATGAGGAGTGTTCGTAAAGCTGGTGGGATGTATGGATGAGCAAGCGAATATGTCGTGAAGCGTTGATCGGACGTATGACATTTCTACGATGGCGATACAGCGACACAACACCAGCACACTGACACACACACGATCTGACACACACACACACACACACACACACTTATCACACACACACTAGCACGCACACACCACACGAAACACACACACACACACACACACACACACACACACACACACTAGCCGGCACATGCATCACACAGAAACACACACATCACATCACAACACACAGCGACACACGATCACATTCATCCCCCCCCGTATCATCCAGCAACACACGATACACACACAGCGTAGTCATCGAAACGTCGCCAGCCGAAACCAAACAGATGCTACGCTGGGCAACCGTTCGGACCATCACACTGCCAATCCAGAAACAACACTGCAGACGAAAGCACGTTGCTAACGACGCTCGATCAATCAACCGGCCTTGCGGATGCGGCGCCACAGTGAAACTATCGGCGATTGATGCAGACCGGGAACGGTCGCCGGGGGAGGGTGTAGAGGGACTTAACAAATCATATTTTGAGAGCTGCTAATAACAACTATGATATATTGAAAAAGCATTATTTATGAGTACTGGTAGTCTTTGAGTATTTATCAAAGCGTTATTTTGTAGATGAATGTACATAGAATACATCTGATCCGTCTCTCTCTCTCTTGTGTCTCTCTCTCTCTCCTCTCTCCCTCTCCCTCTCTCTGCTCTCTCTCTCTCTGCCTGCGGCTCTTCTCTCTCTCTCGTCTTTCGTGTCTCTCCTCTCTAATAAGAGTATATTATGATGTGAAGATAGAGTTATTATATATCATATCAGGGTATAAAGGAGCGTGTATGTATATAATACTCAAAGCTTCTTTAGTACTCTGTGTGTGTTGATCATAGTATATGTGGTCACATTACACGGCAGAATGACAGTTCGAAGCAGCGTCCTGGTCCAGTGACCCTGGGCACTTTCTGTAAAACCGCCACTTAGTTCTGTGTGGCGACGAAGTGACATCAGCTCCTGGCATGACATGTCGTTGATAGTGTAGTATTTTTAGGATGCCTTTACCATGGTTTGGTTGTGTGTGTTGGATTGACGTAGGTGCAAGCTCGCAAAACATGGTGAAGTGTGCTGTGTATTGTATTAGTGGTCAGTAGATAAGACGGGTGTTATTAATATCTGCTAC